TACTTATATATGTGTATATAGTATAACATAAATTAAAGGTAGAATGTAATAAAATTATTCTATGTTGGATTTTAAAAGTATTAATTAATATTTGTATATTGTATAAAAGCTTTAATATGCACGGATAAGGAGCCAGTATAAAAAAAGACTGGATCGATAAATCATAAGTATAGTCATAAACAGACACTTTGTTCTTGAACCGAAGGGACAAGGGCACCTACTAGGCTACTACTATCTTGCCGTGGATTTAACAGCTTATATATACTTAAAATTTTATTTTATCCCATTTATATAATACTATAATTTTCCGATGAAATGGGTTCATTTCTCTGCCTCTGCCCATGACTACTAGGTAGGATAGTCATGATATTTCGTTCACGATCATGACATTTTTGTCATGATCTAACTCTAAGATGATACTATTAATTATTTTTACACTTCTGCTTGCTTTCGAGCTTAAACAGTAGAAAAAGATACATAATAGTCAGTCAACTAACAATAATAAAAAAGAATAGGGTATAGTTGTTTAAATCCTACATCAAAATCATTCAGCATAAAATTGTATCAACCCTTAATGATTAATCCAGAGTGCGGAATCTTAATTTCCATAAGTAGAATAATTAATTTCATGTTGGTCATAAACCGGTAAAGTCCTTGAACATAATATGACAAAAGAAATGTTATAACACTACCGAACAAAGTTTGGGATGTATCAGATATGAGATCAACAAGATATTTGCAATACAACTACAGGAATGTATCTGAGCAAAATATATGTAAACTTCTTGAACATATTGTATTGGGTGATACCCTTTTTTGCTTGAGCCCGACCGGGTTGGGTCCGGTCCGGGGCAAGTCGGGGCCATCGAACCCGACCTGGATGCAAGGTAGAACGACGGCCACGTCTACAACCGAGGTCGAGTCATTTCGAGACCGTTGCAGAGCTCGATATGAGTCACCACCGGATGGAGAAACACACAAGGTCGGAAGCCGGACTCGTAACGGATAACCAAGCGTCGCCGGATATCTCGCCCAAACGTGATTTTCTCAACCACTTCAGGCCATTAAGGCGTAATTACAGGGATCCACGATGTAATTAATTTACCTACCTTATTTTACCCTTAATCAGAATGTATAAAAGGGGAGAAGACCCCATAAAGAGGGATCAAAAACCATTACNGAAGGCTTACCATGGTTTTTCGCCTCCCACCGACCTTTGGAGATTTCCTTCCAGTTTCGCTCCGAATATGGCCGCTGGGCCACTATCTTGTTTACCCAGCCGGCCAGATCCTTGATGGCAGCTGGAGTTTGGGTCACCGCTGCACAAGAAAAGGGGGTTTCAGGAAGAAGTTGAGGAAAACACACTCTAAAAGATGAACAGTGAGAAAATACTTACGTTTGAGGTTCCACCTCTCCGAAAATGGCATGCAATCAGCCGGAATCAGGTCGGACGTCCTGATCCGGACAAACCTGCTCATCCAGCCTCGATCTTTGTCTTCATCGATGCTGGAGAATGGGGGTTTGCTAGCCCGGCGGGCCAGTTTTATTAATCCCCCTCGAAATATTCGAGGGCTGTATAGTCGAAGAAGATGGTCGAGGGTAAAGGGAAAATCGCCCTCGACTCTCTCAACAAAAAACCGAAAGAGATATACGATCCGCCACATCGAGGGGTGGATCTGACCTAAGGTCACCTCGTACCGCCGGCAGAACTCCACTATAATGGGTTCTAAGGGGCCTAAGGTGAAGGGATATGTATATACACTAAGATATCCTTCAACGTGAGTCATAATCGACTCGTCACGGGAAGGGGCGACCAGGTCTTTCCCTTCCCATCTACATTCAGCCCTCACCCGGTCTAGGCAACCGGGAGTGATTAGACTGATATACTCCGATGCCGGTTCGCCGCGGCCCGGGACCGATGATGGGTTTTCAACCTGGAAGTCGGCAGATACCAAGCAACCAGTCGGTGTGAAAGCTTTCAATGGGGGTTCTGGCGCAGGTTCATCAGATCTAGCGGGGCTCGCGGCCGAGCTTGGTCTAGAAGGAACACTTTGTGAAGTTTTCGCCATTTCTTGAAGCTTTACGAAGAGATGAAAAGAAAATACAACCAACGCAAAATTTGAGAAAGATAAGAAATGTTGAACCTGGAAGGGTCGTTTATACTTTTCCCATGAGGCGGTGGCACGAATCGCGAAGTTACAGACACGAAGCGACAGATAATTAAGAGAAGCATTAAATGCCTGCAGCGGGCGTGGTCAGAGCACTCGATGGCTTTTTCACCTGGCGTATGGCCATACGTCACGGGCATCACGTCACCGATCATATCGTTTATTATCATTACTCTCTAATAAACGAGGGGACTATCTGTATTGGGTGATACCCTTTTTTGCTTGAGCCCGACCGGGTTGGGTCCGGTCCGGGGCAAGTCGGGGCCATCGAACCCGACCTGGATGCAAGGTAGAACGACGGCCACGTCTACAACCGAGGTCGAGTCATTTCGAGACCGTTGCAGAGCTCGATATGAGTCACCACCGGATGGAGAAACACACAAGGTCTGAAGCCGGACTCGTAACGGATAACCAAGCGTCGCCGGATATCTCGCCCAAACGTGATTTTCTCAACCACTTCAGGCCATTAAGGCGTAATTACAGGGATCCACGATGTAATTAATTTACCTACCTTATTTTTACCCTTAATCAGAATGTATAAAAGGGGAGAAGACCCCATAAAGAGGGGATCAAAAACCATTACACTACAGTACCATCTCTCTCAATTCTTGTACGCTATCAAGCACAATTGTTCTAAACAGTTTAATATTATATTCTGCGATTATTTACTTTAACAGCAATTGTTGAGTCTTTATCTTTATTTTCCTCAACCTGAACCTTTTGTATCTTTTAGTTCACGGATCCTTAAAATTCCATATAAATTCAATTGTTATCCGGATTCTAGGGTAAACACATATATAAATATACAACAATTATCTATCTTTATACAAAATATGCACCTTGGAATTTACACTTAACTATAGCTAGATATATATGAATTTCACTTAATTAATATGCACAGCATGAGGTAGCCAATATCACAAAAGACTGAATAAATCATAATCACAATCATATAGAGAAACTTGTTCTTGGACTAAAGGCAAATCGTACCCCACATAGTGATAATCAGAACATGACTCCATCTCCAATAGCCATGACTCAATTCTCCTGTATTCTGCAGAAAAATCCACTATTTCTTGGCTTCCTTCTGATGATGAATCTATGGTTACTTGTTGGCTATTTTCTTGAGGTGGGGATGAGATTCTTGGACTATTTCCATTGCCAGTAAGTTGTTGAACAAGATTCTTGAAGTTAGAAGAATCAGTGATATATACTTTGGGTTTCAAGAATTTTATCAAGTTGTTGAGGTCTTTCTTGTTCTCGTGATTATGATGAGAATTATTCTTGGATATCTTATGTAATTGGAAATTAGCAGCTTGACTTTTCATCAAGACTTTCTTCCCCATGTTATCTCTTTGTTGCCTAGAACAAGGAGAACTAGGAAAGTATTTTTTGGTCCTTAGAAATGAACGAATTGTTTTCACTTTCTTTTGTTTGCTCCTAACGAACGGATCATAAGAGGAGGTATTAATATGACAGGTTTTCGAGGAGTTGAGATATGATACTCTAGTTGAAAGAAGCTAAGGAGAAAAATGGGTATTTACTGAAAATGATGGTCATTCTACACTAAGGTAAGGTGTGAGAATTGGAGTCCATTCTACCCATCATATCTATATTGTCCACTTTGGATTATAGCTGTACAGTTTTTCTTAAAAGACCCTGCACTATTAAGAAATCGTTTGATATGGTATATAAGATAATTATTCATGGTGTACGAACTTGTATTGAGTTAATACATTGTTTGGTTCTGATTTCAAATGTAGATAACTTATCCGTATATTGTTTTATACACCAATTAGTGTATTATCTTATTCCACCACTAATATGGAATAATTAATTCATGTGTAAGCTCTACATGGATAAAGCAACAAAATGATAAAACTATCTTTTGTCTTTTCTCAAGAAGTCTATGAAGACAAAATATCCTAGGGTATAATTGTAAACTTAATATATTTTGTTTAAAAATAAATAAATAAAACTGTTAATTCACGTAATATTAATTCTTAAATTATTAATCACTGCATTACCAATCCATTCCATGTATAACTTATCTTCAAATTAAACCACCCATAGAAGTAAATTCATTACAAATATGCTAAGCATCGTAATTATATGAATTGTTGGTTGTTGTTTTGTATTATTAGGCAGTAGAATGCAAACGTTAGTCAATTTTATTGGTTTTGACAGGGTAAAATATTGTAAAATCGAAAAATAAACAAATAGTACTATAAAGTAGCACCATGTGGAAGAATTACAATGAAGTCACGCAACAACTGTTCAAATAATTGTCTTAATGCTGGGACTTGCATCAAAAGTTTAGAGAAGACAAAATATAGAAATAATAAAGAACGGGAAAGCATTCGCAATCAGAGGTGAACCGAAAATTTAAAGATTTGTGGGTGATTTTTGAATTCAATCAAAATCTGCTTTTTATATAGGATATCTACTACTAATGTATTATTATTTTCTACAGATATACACTAAGTACTTTGATCTTTGTATTGCTAATACACATATTTTTATTAAATATTCAATCCCGCTTACAACAATAAATTTAATCATGTATAACTTAATTTAGATATCGATTAATTACAAACCAAATAATGCAATAATTATGCCAGAATATTTTATACTATCAACAAAATGATACATTAGTTACCCGGAAATTAATTTTCTTAATTAATCCAACTAAATATTGTAATTATTTAATTGTGATACAGTGTTAAAATTATTTTTCATAGAGAATTAACTAGCCGACAAAAAATCCTGAAAGGGCTAAAATTACCGAATTAGCCAACATTTATTTATCATCGTCTCTGATTCAGCCACGAGTCCAATTCAACATGAGTAATCTGCAGGGTTCAGGTCCAATTTCTAACCCGATTCAGAATCCGACTCCGAACCCAAGTACCGACCCAAAATCAATATCGTTCGATCAGGTCTCCAAGTTGTTCAATTTGCCTCTCTCTGATGCTGCTGAATCCCTAGGTAATCTTCCTTTCCCTTCACCTTCGGAAAATAATAATAATTCCTCAAGATATATTTATACTTAGGTGCTGTTTGTTTTAGAGTTGCAAATTCAGATTTTGAATTTTTGGCTACTTTTTGCAAAAACCAGCTCAGACAAATATCTTTTTTTACAAATGTAAACTCTAAAATAAACGTTACTTGAGTTTATACTCACTGCTGCAAAAGTGTAATAGGTGCAGTGATATTCTGTGTTACTGGCTTAAAAATGATGTTTGTAGGCTAAACGTAAAACTATTAGTTTAGTGGTTTATGAATTTATTTATTTATCGTGTTCGGCTCAGCTTGTGTGCAGCTCGATTAAGTCATAGAATACTTGCTACTTCCCACTGTATCTATCTAGTTTGATGTAAATTTTTATCTGCTTGTGTTTTGTCATGGGTCTGGAAAAGTAGTTGAAATTTGGAAAATAGTTGCTGCAATGTAGCTTGATTGGGGTATAACCATATGGTATCTGCTACCCACTAGCCAACTAATCCAGATTCGAGCAGCGTAGGGCCCATTAAACGGGGTTTCTCCATGCCAGGTCAGGCTCGAACCCGAGTCTCTGATTAAGGGTGGAGGGACCCATCTATCCCAGCAAAGCCCTTGGTGGTATTATGAAAACTGGTGTAGACACTTTCAAGAGGCAGTATGTTGTCTGAATATTGTTATTGCACTAGAAAAAGTTAATAACTCTCACCGAGTCACAATGTTTATGTGCACTAGAAATTTTGTAATTCTGTTGACTAATTTCAAATCCAGGAATCAAGTGTCTGAAAGGATGAAAATTAACAACTATGAGCAAGTTACTTAGACCCTGAAAAACCGGCATTCCAGTTGCTACGAAAAGAAGTCATAAAATCTTGAATTGCTTGTTGGTGTTGCATGTTTAGCTGTTTCTTGTTATAGTTCCGTTTGATGTCCTATACCAACTCCCCCCCCCCCCCCCTTCCCCCAAATACCCCATTTCCTTACAGTCAATTTCATAAGCAAATGACAAAGTTTATACATTACACTTCAGGACTTGACCATATTACTTCTTTTTTTTTTTGGGAGAACAAGGAAAGAATCAGAGAATAATTGATCATACTATTTTTGAACTGTTATGTTCGTCAATTTCTACTTTTTAACTGTAAGCTCAGTTGTGACAATGTTTGCCAATCTCCACTTTCTTTTACATAATATTACAAGAACATTTGATATTTTAATCTAATTGGCATCTATCTTCTAGGTGTTTGTGCAAGTGTCCTGAAGAAAATATGCTATGAGAATGGTCTGGTGAGGTGGCCGTATCGAAAGGTAGGCTATACAAAGATGATTTGTTGTACTCATTTGAAAAGTGAAGTTTCTCTATTTCGAAGCATCAACATTATTCCCTTGAGAGATTTTATCGCTAAATAACTAAGAGAAGAAATAATCAACAAGTTCACACTAGGCTGCTAAACTTTTCACATTTCGGCAGCTTATCGGTCAAACTATTTATGGTGGGGATCTTTCCCATTAAACTTCTAAAAAGATTGCAACTCACATTTTGACAGTTTTGTGATGCTAGCAAAATATATTTTAAACATGATTTTTTATGGTGGACTGTAGCTAGAAGGGTAAATGGACGAAAGAAACGAAACATATGACAGTTAACTGGAGCTTAGGGAAGGAACATAACTTTTATCTCCCTTTTGATGTTGAGTATATATTGACTGAAATTCTTGAACATAGAGTCCCAAAAATGCGGAGAAAATGCAAGATTTATCATACCAGCACTGTTGCCTGTTGGTTTGGTTCTTCTATGATAAAGAATACCTTGTTGATTCCAGATGGTAGAATGTTTTTGTGACCCTTTCAAACATTATGTTGTGATATTTTCTTGTCAGATCAAATATTATTGATCTAATTATAGAAAACTATTTATATAGTTCACTGCGCACCAATAGGTATGATCATTGCACGGTAAATTTTAAGCACTCACATCATCTGAAGTCTGCCTGAAGGAGCCCGTCCTTTTACCAGGTTGTTATGACACTTGCACTACAGTCAATTATAAGATATGATTCACGTGTTCTATTTTGCCTGTTAGCCTAAACATTATTGTGGTAGTGGGATCCAATGAAATGCTTGTGCGATGCTTGTTTATGCATCTGTATTTATTTGAGATTTTCAGGTCATCTCTGGAAAGAGTATTGAAGATATAAAGAAGGAGGCATCGAGGGAAAAACAAGAGCGATCTGTGGAATTCCCTAAAGCTGCTGGAGAGAAGCATGATTCTTTAGCCAGTTCTGCAATCTCATCATTTCCGTAAGTCATTTAACATGTTATACTTTTATTAGCGGAGTCCAACTTATTATGTCTGATCATATCAATAAACTACTTCATAGAAAATGGCTATCGAATCTGATCAGTTAAACGAGTGAAATACTCAAAGTAGTTGCATCAGTCCACTTTTGGACTTGATACCGGAAATGCTGCTTCGAGCATGACCTTTTATCTTTCCAATGTTGGATGTTTCAGTAAGGCTCTTAACGATTGATTAAGAACACGAGGAACTTTACCAGTTACTTGATGTGTCAGGGCTCATGAGTAATCTCAGGCCTAGTTTCTGTCATCTTCCCTAAGGGCTGTCGTAGAAGATAGAAATTCCAAAGTTAAAACCTTTCCAGACATCCTCTTTTTCACTACTGAAGTATCTGCGCAGCTATCCCTTATACCATTCAGACAGTATGAATTTTGTATTAAAAGACAGGGGATACTTCTAAGCAGTTGTTTGTGCACTAATGGTTATATTCCATAAAGCTACTATCATTCAAGAAGCCTGTCAACCTTAAACCATATTAGTACCAGATCATCTGGCTATATGGTTCTCAGGTTGGGAACTGAACTGAATGCAATATCCACAGCCAAAATTTTCGTTAGAAAACAAATTGTGTGGGCTTAGAAAGCTTGACTGGGAGTGAAGCTTGTAGAGAGATTCTTACTGGAGCTTGGTGGGAATAATTATAGTTAATAGGAATGCAATATGTTGTCATTCTGAACAATCCTCTTTACATTGCCTATGTTCTAGTTCTCTGTTTGATACATACTGCAGTAGACAGTTGAGGGATACATGCAGCTTTACCCTGTGACTCACTTTAGAATCATGTGAATGAGTACGGCTTGATTATGTATTTGACTCTGTTTATGTATTTGACTCATTTGTTCAACTGATTCGTGTGACAAAGGAGTGGGAAGGGAGGGGGGATGTGGTGGCGGTATTGGTAATGGGGGTGGATGTACCACCATAGTAACAGTTGCATATTTGATATATATGCCGATTAGATACTATGTAAGAGATCGCATTACTTCTAAAAATCCGATACACCAGGTTACACTTCCATATAGTAATTTGGTGTTTTATTATATGCTTGACATATTAGCAAAATAGGGTATTTTCATATTATTCAATATCGTATGACAGGTGGCATTGCTTATATGCTGATCAAAATTCAACTATATAAAGCCCAAAAAGATAGATTTTACCCCTTTGATATGATGTGGTAGGCTACGTTGGAACAGAATTTTGATCTATGCACCAACCAAATATAATGTTATACTTATATTTATTAAATTATTTTATTATAATTTGTTTATTTAATGTCTTGAACTTTTTACACATTTATGTCTTATTTTATGTGTTAAATTATTTTTAGTTTTTATCTTTTTTTAAGAAATAGGTGTAGATTAAATAACATAAACTTTGATAGATCAAGAACATTATTGTCCCCAAAAGTTTGATTCCAATTTCAGTCCATCCACGCAATTATTAACCAAATGTAAGATTATTTTTCCTTAATAACAAAACCGTCCATATTACAATTTTAGATGATTTAGGTTATAATAAATGTATTCTCTAATTACCTTACTAAATATTACATGGATTTTTTTCTGAGCCAATCCTGAATTTTAGAATATCTATTGCATTATCTTCAAACTACTGTACCACAGAACAGAAGTATATAAATCATTAGCGTCTATTGAGATGCTTTCCACCACATATTTTAATGTAGGGGCTCTCCATTGCAAAACAAGAGTATTAGCTCCACAATGGAAATGCCGAAAGCGGGAGCTTTCTCACAGCAGCAAGGTACCAGGGTTGCTCAATCTGGAAGTTTACCGCATTTCCGTGTCTCTAACTTGACAAGAGGGACTTCAGTCAGTTATGATGAATTCAAGTATGGGTTTCCATCGGATGGCTTGTCTACTGTAACATATAGGTGGTGGGGAAACAAGAGTCCTGATAATAACGAGGATAGCCAACCGAATGATGACAATGTCAAAAACAGCAAGGAGCAAGCAGAAAATGTTGCAGAGAAATCTGAATGCAAGACAAGTGTGGATTCCATGGAAGCGAGTTCACTGACAGAGGTGAGAAAACGAGCTGCCAAAGAGGGGAAAGAAATGCTGAGGCTTGGAGTTTATAGGGGACATAGAGCAAACATACTTGATTCAACAAAACAAAAGATTCTTTGTCAGGTATTCAAATCATATTTCCATGTCAATGGAGGTATGAGTAAGTTAGAATCATGACAATGGACCAATGATCGTCTTTTCCTCATATGATGGAACAAGGGCTTATAAGATGCTGTAATGAGCAACGATCATTTCAAAATTCACATGAAGGCAACATGTTACATCTAGGATTCAGTACTATGTGGATTATATCAGGCAATTCATCAAAGGTCCTCTTTTTCTTTGACTATGTCAGAGATGAGACTCGACCTCCCATAGGCACGACCAAAAATGTGTTATTAGCTTCCTATTGATCTTGATCAGTTCTAGCTTATTTTTTGTTGGGAGTATCTTTTTGATCGGACCCACTTTTATATAGTCTTCTGAAATGCCTGCTTAACGCTTATCCTCATGTGCTTTCAGAGCCCCAGCACGAAAAATCACTTTTATCACTTCAAAATTTTTTATCAGGAAATCACAAGCACCATAGAGTATGAGCCAGTTATGATGTGAAAATATGATATTTATGGAATGTGTAGAATTTACTAATGCTGCATGCGACTACACTTTTAGCTAGTCAGCTGCTAAAGTGAATATTTGGAGTTCATGTATATCATGAAATTCATGATTCTTGATGTTCAGGCAAAATTCAAAATATCTCGTCAATGTTCTCATGTTCATCTTTTTCTGTAAGGGATAAAGACAGGATGAGTTTAACTACCATTTATGCAATGAACTTCTAATTAAGCGGACGAGTTGTGAATGATGGATAAATAGCCATTTTTGGGTCGGCTATTAGAGTTCGGCCAACTTTTAAATTGTATTGGCGAAGTAGCCTTGTTAATGCGGAAATACATGTCTAGACAAATATACTCCCACCTAAAACTTGGAAGAACTCCAGGAACAATTGCTGGAGTATGAAATTTTTTTGGTTCAACACTCTAGAAAGTGTTCTTGGAGTTTTAAAATTCTTTGAAGATGAAATGCTAAAATTTTCTACAGGTGAAGCCCCAACATAGTATGCACGAAGTTTGGAACCTAAAGGCAAAACCCAGCATTGTATGCTGGATCTAATAAAAACTCCATGATTTGTTCTTAAAGTTCGAAAATTTCCTGTAGGTGTAACTCCAGTATAACATGCTGGATTTCAGAACTATTAGTTGTGAAGCTCCAGCATACTATGCGGGAGTTCAGATAATGACTGTTTTTCCTCGTTTGATAAACTTTTTCTGTATACACATAGAATTCCATACGAAATTGCCTTCGCTGGAATTTGAGTTGTGAAGTTTCGACTCAAAAGAGTGAAATTGTATTGGATTCCTTTGCAGTTAAAATTGAATTTTTTTTATTTAAAACACTATTCTATTTATTAACATTATTATTATTAATTTAACAAATATTTTTTACATCCAGCTAATAACAACTAGAAAATGAATATTTGGCCATGAGGATGACGGACGGAATTTATCAGCAGGACGTAAGGCATGCAATCGAAAAGTCTCCCACGTGCCCGTGTGCCTTGATGTCTACGGTGAAATGGCGGGTGCCAATTCCCGAGCGTTTGATGCGCCCCTTCATCTGAATTTAATATTTTAAACTCAAAATATATGTTTATATACAAAAATTTTCCAAGAATACTAGATCTAAAAGTATAATTTTAAAAGTTCAATAAATTTAATGTTAAGATTTTAAAGATCTAATACATCGACCTTAAATTTTAGATCTGCTTCTAAAATTAGGATTTTATCACTTTTAGCCGGCGCTAGAAAGTAGAAACTATTTACATTCTGTTGCCAAAAAATGTATAAAATTTGTATATATATATATTATTTTGAGAGTAGCTACACAGTGCCATTTCTCCTCTATAATTTTCCGAACACGTGTGATCCCAAAAATACCCTTTCGTTAACCATTTACCTTATGTCCCTTTCGTTGTGTTGTTTTTATTGGAAAAGAATATTAATTAACAAATAATTGTGAAAGATTTAATTGGATAATAACTACTACAGGATATTACATAATTTATATTACAGTTCGAATTTAAATTATTAATTACTTTATTGTTCCGTGATAGACGTCGCGAATGTTTCAGCCTCTAACAATGGGACAAAGGAAATTTATCGTACTAGAAGCTAAGTGATGTGCTAAACAATAAACTTAAATAATGCATAGAAGGGGCTAATCAGTATGCTTTAAATATAACGGAGATTAAAAGTGCTCAATTTTAAAAAATATAAAGGGCTATAATTACTACTCAGGCGTAAATTTAAAGGATTATTTTAGACCAATCGCCAAATATGAGGGAGATTCGTTGTCTTTTTCTTCATCAAAACAACAGAAGTTACAGATTAATTAGACTATTCACAATTTTTTTTAAACTCTAATTCTATTCCTTTTTTATTGTCTACGATCGAGAACTATATTTCTCATTAAACTCACATATTCATTTACGCACTTGGAGAAAGTATATAGTATGTATCAATTTGCGGTGATGATAAAGACAGCGATCCTGTATATTCAAACTATACCTAATGAAAGGAACATCGTCCAATTTAAGTATTGTTGTTACTTGGAAATTTACACTTTCAAGTTTGAAATATCTTTTAAGACTTTTTCGCATGACTTCTATGACATGTTTAATTTAATTTCACTAAAGGTAATCATTGAATTCTTTGTTTATCAACATTACGTGGTGTCAGAAGTCTTCTCAGTCAGAACTTGTTGCACCGGGCTTACTTAGTACAGCTTACATTTCCTGTGTGATTTACGAGCTATTGCATAGTAAGTACTTTACGTACCCAATGCACACCCAAAGAGTAGCGACTGCGTATTTCCCTGGGAATTTTCCAAAAATTATATTATGTGGGATATTATATATATGTAGCAAAACTAAAGTCATTTTTACTACTTTTGAAACTTCCTGAGTTCTATTTTTCTTCAAAAAGGACCATCCTTTTCTACTTCCTAACAAGCTATACTAGCTCATTAATTAGCTCTTTATTTTCTTATAATTGCACAAACATAGTGTACAAGATTTTCTTTAAGAATCTTGAGTAGTTCCATTCTTTCTTTCTTTCTTTCTTCTTCTTGATCCTCTACTTTAATTTTTTTCTCTCTTCACCTTAAAGTAAAGGCTAAAAAATATATTAGGAGTAATATCTTCTTCTTTTGTTAGTCTTGATTCTATTTTTCTTAAATATTCCCAATACCATTTGCTCCAATATGTCTAACAACCCTTTCTATCATGATTACATGGGAACTGAAGGGATCAATACATTTCCTTTCTTTGGTGAAAATCCAGCCTCAAATTATGACCATACACCTCCTAATAATATTCAAAATCCACATCAACAATTTGTTCCTTCTTCTTACATGACTCTCACTGAGTGTTTGCATAGTTCTATGGATTATAACACTTTATCAAGTGCTTTTGGCATGTCTTGTTCATCCTCTGAAGTTGTTTGTCCACAAGTTGATCGTCACGACTACTCTTCTAGGAAAAGTAGTGTCGTCTCTGCTACAGAACCCGTCCTAGATTCGCCTTTGGAAGGAACTAGTGTTGAAATTCCACCCACGACGAATTCTTCGATTTCTTCTACCTCTAATGAGGCTGGAGGGGAAGAAGATTCTTCCAAAATCAAGAAACTTATGCAAGGAAAAGGATGTCAAGAAGAAGGAGATGACAAGTCTAAGAAAGAGTAAGTCATTTTTTTTGTGCTCACATAAGATCATATTAACAATTTCTCCTTTGGGACGTTTCTTTAATTTCTTATCTTCAAGGATTAGATTATATATTAATTGGACTAATTCTAGTCATAGTTTAATTTCTATGTTATTCCATGGGTGGAATCTTGACTATTCTCCAAGTTTCTTTCGAGTATATGGAAATTAATATTTGGCCAAAGAGCACTTTTAGCCCACAATGAAAATTATTTACATTCGATAGCTGAAAAAGTGTGTATTTTTTTTCATATAACATACAAAAATGTATATGCATACAAAAAATATTTTTTTGGGCTATTATTTTGAGAACGGTTATACAATGTTATTTTCCTTTGATATTTTGACCGTCTCCCCTCATCCTAATTGTTTCTATTTTTATAGTTTTAGCATTTTGGTACAAAACAAAACCCTAATTTACCGCTAATTTAATTCAGTTAAATCATACATAAAATTTATAAAATTTCTGTCTAAGATAGAAAAATTGCTCGTATACAAAATTATTGATAATTATTTTCAGGAGCAAAGCAAAAAAGAAAGGAGAAAAGAAGCCAAAAGAAGCAAGATTTGCCTTCATGACTAAAAGTGAGATTGACAATCTTGAAGATGGTTATAGATGGAGAAAATATGGACAGAAAGCAGTGAAGAACAGCCCTTTCCCAAGGTAGTATCTTCCATTCAATAAAAATCAATCTCAGCTAATCTCAATTATTAGGACTAATATGTGAACTTATTCATTAATTAACGTTGCTTAAGTTACTACTCAAAATCTTTGATTACTGGCATGTTCCATGTTCAAAATAGTAGCTTAAACTAGATGAAATTTTGCTCCGTTGCAAGAAAGATACTATGCCAAAAGTAGGGGCATATATGGACCGGGTTGGTTTGATTTTTTTTGTAAAATCAAACCAAACTAATTAAATCGGTTTGGATTGGTTCGATTTTGCTGGATTTTTCGGGGTTTTTCGAGTTTTTTTGTTACATGAATAATATGTCAATCTTACTTTGTTAAATTTTTTATAAGTAAATATATGTTTAATAAAAATTGAAAAAATTAACAAACATATGATCTATTAAAATATTCTTATGGGAGAATTTTCTCATGATAGTTATTCTTTTAGTTGTTTGACAATAAATTTTCCGTTGATATACACTTTAAAAGTTAACCGAAATTAAAAATTAAACATAAAAATCAATGTGATACCTAAATAATGATATGTTCTATTTAATTTTTGATTATCGAAATACCACTTCAAATTCGAAAAAGATCTAAGATTAATTTAACAGATCTTGATATATGAATATGGAATAACAAAGAGATTGACGCATTTCAATAACACTTGATAAGAAAATGTTCATACAACACATTATTTAAAGTTAATAAAAATGGAGCACTTCATATTCTATTAAATATTATATCTCATAAGAGAATCTCAAATATTTCTACACATTTTTGAAAGAAAAATCTATATAAAAATTATATATTTATATGTCGGTTTGGTTCAATTTTTTTTACTCAATACCAAACCAAATCAAACCAAACCTCATCGGAATTTTTAATCGGTTTGGTTCGACTTTTCGGTTGGGTGCGATTTTTCGATTCGGTTTGTACACTCCAAGCCAAAAGGATTGGATTTAAGTTATATACGATGGCACGTAATTCTTTTTTATCTACCAGTACAATTT